TGTTTTCTTAAGTTGCAGCACACTGAGCTCTCTCGTAAAATAAAGACATTTATGAATTCATTTACTTTTTTCAACCATTCTTATCAGAAGCCATTTTTATTCTTTCAACTAACCAACAAACTGCATGCACAGGATTGTGGGTTATCCAAGGCAGAGGACCAGATCAAAGAGGGACCAGATGGAGGCAGGATGTAATGTAAAAAAAAAAGTGCCTTAATGCTTTTCGGATACTACATAAGGCATAATTTTTCAGGTTTCGGGCACAGTCTTAGTGTTAAGATCTTTTATCTTCTGAACAGTTGAAATGCAAAAAAACAGTAACTATTTCCTCTTCTCTCAGTTTCAGTTTTAAATGTTAGCATGGCGATACAAATTCTTGAAAAATTGCTAAATAAAGAACATAACATTACTAAGCATTATTACTTAAAAAGGATAAGGAGACCAGGCCAAATTCTCTCTGTTCCTCATGTGGTAGGAAAAGAGGGACAGACGTTCAAAAGCTTTGGTGAAATTCTGGTTCCATGTGAGACATGTCATGTGTATAGAGCATTTGAGTTCTGAGTCATGCAGAGTGTGACCGGGAGCAGCAGTTCATTGATGTTTGTGTTGACTAATGTTGCTGCTGGGAGAGATGTTGTGTTCTTTGGTCTTTGGTCACCTTCATAAAAGAAGTCATTTATTGTGCCTGTGAGTGAAGGTAGATAGAGCACCATCAGCAGTGACACACCTCAGCACAAAGTTTGTTTGGCACATGTTCAACTGAGGCAGTAAAATGCTTTTTCCTGAAACTACATATGCATTTTGAAAAATGACGAGACAGAATTTAGTTTGGCCTCAGTAAGATTTATTTTGTTAAAATAGTTTTATTCAGCAAGGATGCATTAAAGTAATTAAAAGTGACCGTAAAGACATTTTTCATGTTGCATAAGATTTTTACTTCACATAAATGTTGTTCTTTTGAACTTTCTATTGATCAAAGGATCCTGAAAAAAAATATTAGGCAGTACAACTGTTTTAGTTCAACATTAATAATAAGAAATATTTCTTTAGCACCAAATAAGCATTTTAGATTGATTTCTGAAGGATCATGTGACTCTGAAGACTGGAGTAATGGCTCCTGAAAATTCAACTTTACCATCACAGTAGTAAATTACATTTTATGAAATAGTAGAAAACAGCTATTTTAAATTGTAGCAGTTTTTACTGTATTTTTGATCAAATTAATGCAGCC